CACTGATTGAGGAGCGTCGGCAGAGCCACTTGAAGCACTCGTCTGCTCCAGCTGCCGAGGAGGGTCCACGCCCTGTCCCGAGGAGGGCTCCCGAGGCTCAGGCGTGGACCCCAAAATCCTATCAGCAGCCTCCAGGGCAGCCGTGACTCTAGAGTCCGAACTACTAACCCACGCCTCAGTACTCTGCTTGAAGAAGTCGTCGGCCAAGCTCTGGACCAAAGGCGTGGGAGCACAAACTCGATCTGCCCCTGAGCGAAGAGTATGGAGGGTACTCGTACTTCGAGCGACTCGATTGCACCGACGACACCTATACTCTGACAACCTCTTGCAGAACAGCAACTCATGGTCCTGGGGCCTCTCGAAGACCACACTCTTGGGCACCTGGACGGCCTCAGGGTCCCGCTCCGCGATAGGATCCGTTCCCCACTTACGAAACTGAACCACCTGGAAGACAGCCCAAGACACATAATGCAGGACCTGCTTGTGCTGCGTCAGCGCAGCGGCCAAACTCTCAGCCACCGCTTTGGACGCCATGTGTGCGGCGCTGCCACACTTCGCGAAGAAGTCGGCCCAGGCATTGCCGACGAAGGCCTCAAGCTCGTCTGGCGTGGCCCACTCGATGATATCATCCAGCTTCCTGTGCGCTGGAGTCCACTGAAACCGCACTGGTGGCAGACGTGGATCGCGTTCTCTGGCAGCAGAAAAAATGTCTCTCCAGACGCGGGCGTGCTTCGCTTTGCCAAATTCGAGCTTCTGGTCCCAGGACGTGCCCTCATCAACGAGCGATTTCAGATCTGAAAAGAAAACCTCATGTCCTGGATGCTTCTGAAGTCCCATCTTGATGGCATAGCGCTCAGCACGGCCAACCGTCTGCACATAATAGGGCAAGGGCCCATATACAGCTCTGGCGGGGAGCCACGTGACGGGGTCCAACTGGCAGACCGACCAACCGCACCTACGTACTTCAGGAATACTGGCCGAGAACCCAGACCCATCAGTATAAGATGTAGGCCCCTAGGAGCCTGAGACATCTCCCCACTCAAAAACTTCATTGGAGACCGTAGTGTAGTGCGGCACACCCACAGGCTCAGGAACCCCATAGATCAGGTACCTCTGGTCCCAGTCGGTGCACCCCAGCTGCTGCCCAGACGCCTGAAGCATGTCTCGAACCTCCTGAAGCTGTTCTGGAAACGCATAATATTCCTGGTCGGGGTCCCCTTCGAGGAGCGGCGGGCAGTCGTAAAAGATATGACCCCAACAGGAGTCGATAGCCTTACCACAGGCCTGACAAGGCCTAATGGGCCTCCTGTGCTTCATGTCCCGACGCGGTGGGATGGGAAGATTGTCTGCCCACAAAGCCTGCAGCGCGCCGAGGCGCCGGTGACACTTTATCTTGGCGAGCGAGTGGCGTAGCGCACGATGCCACACATCCGCCTGCTCGGTGTAAAAATGCTGCTGCAACCTATGGTGCTGCCAGCGCTGGATGCCCTGATGCAGGAACACACGCAGGTCTGCTGGACATATACGGTATAAATCAAAACTATTTCCCAAATCGTCGACCAGGATGTGCTCAGACGACATAGTCCAGGAGATACGCCTCAAGGTAAGCCAAGTGGCCCCAAGGGGCCCTCGCGCTTTAGACCAGGAAGGTGAACTCCCAAACTTAGTACCCAGACTGACCCAAGCCTCCCGAAGTCTGCTAGGTTGTACACGCCCATCCCAGATCCAGGAAGCATATTTGAGCACAATGTCCGTGGTGGCATTATAGATGGGGTCGTAGCATTCATCCCGATGAGATATAAGATACGCTGTTACCCCAACCAACGTCTTACCTGGAGCACCATTTAGGACAGCAGCACAATGTCGCAACTCACGAAGGGCGCTACCACTAACTCCAGCAACTGCTCCGCCATGCGCCACTGATGGAAGGGCGCCCGTGCGCCACAGGCTGGTAGCACTCCGCCCCACGGCGGACTTCAACATACGAAAACGATGCTTGCGCTCACGAAACTGCACCAGCCGACGCTTCTCCATACGCCGAAGAACTCGAGGTCCTGTGAGCTCGTGACCCAAGTTCCTCATGTGGGCCCTGTACGGGATCTTCAAGGTTCCCAAGTGCCTCTTGAGCTGCCCCCAAGCCTGTTGGGACCCAGGGATACATCCAGACTTCGGCGGCTTCAGGACCATCCCAAGATCACCAGCATCAGCAGTGAACGCCTTGGCCGCTCGGGCCAGGTTGGACACCTCCCCCAAGACGGGCGACACGTACTGCAGGCCCACATCGTCCATGAGCGTGCGTGGCGTGATAGTAGGCGCAATACTAGCCGTGCGCTGGACCGCTCGGTACGCGAGGAGATATAAAAGATAAGTGGCGTATGTGCAGCCCGCAAGAATACCCTGATGGGCCACCAAGGGCCTGGAGACGGACCCAAAACACTTGATCCTTCTCGGCTGGCGGTAGGAGCCCAGGAGCAACCACAGGAGCCTCAGCGGGTACCCGAGCTCTCTGGCTTCTCGGAGAAGTGCACTGTGACTGACCATATCGAAGCACTTGGTCATGTCCAAGAGAATGGTGCAGGTGTGTTCACCTAAGAGTTCTCCGATCTCCTGGCTCAGGTTGTGGTCGAAGGCTGAATCGGTCGAAGTCTGCCCAGCCCTGGACCCCCACATATGTTCACAATTGTGAGCCTCTTGCCATTCCGCTGAAAGCGGCCGACGAAGCTTTCCCCACAACCTGACGAAAGTGTTGCTGAGGACGATCAACCTAGTGTCCCCGTCAGGCTTGGGCAAGCGAACAAGCTCGCTGTAGAGCCTGTCAGTAGGCCAGGCCAGCCAACTCTCAAACTGCATGAACATGTCAGCCAGGCACTGCAAGGCCTGGTCGGACAGCACATCGAGCGGGCGTGGCGCGATCCTCGTCTGGCCCGAGGCCGTCTTCAGTGGAAAGCTTCTGATGGCTCCTCGCACCTGCGATGCAGACAAAGGCGGAAGCAGAGGCCACTGAGCATGATCAGAAGGCAGCGGCAGAGGGCATGAACCGTGGTACGTCCAGACGCCCCTCCACTTGTCGAGCGTACGGTCCGCCATCTGATATGGCTGAGCGTCAGGGGAGTAGGCGAGCACCTCCTGTCGAGCACGAACTTTGGAAGACAAATGCGCTCGAGATGCTCCTCCCAAGAAGGCTTCCTTGGCCCACTGTCGCCAAGCCTTCTCCGACGCTCTTTGCGCCGTGCGCAGATGATAATCAGCACAGGCAATGATGGCATTGGCTACCTCCTCAAAGTCAGCCTCGACCAAGCCGGGCAGCCCTCGCCGAAAGAAACCTGCGAAGGCAGTGTCCAGGACACACAGCACCTGCTCTGACCGAGCCACGCGCCCATAAAAGGCAGCCACCTCATTGAAGGCCACGACGACCTTGGTGCACTGCAGCGGCGTGATGGCGCAAGTGAGGGCGCACAACTTGAGGCGCTCGATGTACCTCACAAGCCGCTTCTTCTCGGCCACAAGGTGCTGGGCCCAGCGCCTCGCCGTAGCCCAAGCCAGCACGGACGGCTCTTTGTAGGTACGCCTGCGCGGCGGCTGCCATGACAGGAGCTGCCACTTGAACTGCGGCGGCCCCTCGCGTCCGATGTACTGCATGGCCTTGGCGCCTACGCAGTCGTAACGCCCTGCCAGCTCGTAGTCCACCCCGCGCAGCACGGAGTCCCAGAGCGAGCTCAGGTCATCGACACTGCTGACCTGCTGGAACTCCGACTGGAGCATATGCCACGGGTAGGGATACCTGGCGCAGCCAACGGGCGGCACCACCGCAAAAGGGCGCGGCTCCACAGGGACACGGCACCACGTGGGGCGATCCTCGCCCATGAGCTGCAGCTCCACAGGGAAGTGCGGCGGCGGCACGACCGCGGAGTCATACTGGACCTCGGGCTTGCCCTTGATGCGAGACGCTAAGTTGGCACAGACGACAAAATAGTCCATGGTGCTCGTGCCCTCGTCAGTGATGCAGGTGTGCTGGTCGGGCACATAGTGGATGGCTGCCATGGTCTCGACCCAATTGCGAACATTGAGCGCGTCGATATCGGCGTTCCAGTCACCGCCTAGAATCCAGTCGAGGCCCCGAGAGTTCCATGCTGCCACTCTCTGGGCCAGGGCCCACAGCACCTCAATGCTTTCGCCTGAGATGCCAATGGGCGTGACGAGGTAAACACTGGCGACGATGATACCACCAGCAACTCCCCAGTTAATCTGGGCACAAACTGCTCGTCCTGGATCGATAATGTGCCCGTCGTCAGGTGGGGCCGTGACCATAATGTTCGTCGGCACGAGTACCGCGACCCCTCCGAAGTTGGACGTAGCAGAGTCACCAGTAGAGGGCGACGGGGCCCATAGCCCATGCCATCCAGCGTCCAAGGCCCTGGCCTGAAACTCGCCAAGCCTAGGTTCGGTAATTCTCAACTCCTGAGCCAGCAAGATAGTTCCACGATAAGTGGCCAAAAAGTCGAAGAAAGGGCCGTAGCTCGTAGCGTTCACCGTTGTGATGAGGCCTTTGAGCTGCGGCTTAGATTCTGCATGCATTGCCCCCAGGGCGACTGCTCCAAGACGCTGACGACCGTGCCACCAGAGGACGTGAAGTCGTAGAGCATCCCAGCTACCAGCTGGCTGACCACCGGTACTGGAGCTCTCAGAGATGCAAGGTCGACGATGCCGTAGGTGGAGGCGTCGTCGTCGTCGTCGTCGCCGCCGTCGTCGCCGTCGTCGTCGTCGTCGCCACCGCCGCCGCCGCCGCCGCCGCCGCCGTCGTCGTCGTCGTCGTCGTCGTCGTCGTCGTCGTCGTCGTCGTCGTCGTCGTCGTCGTCGTCGTCGTCGTCGTCGTCGTCGTCGTCGTCGTCGTCGTCGTCGTCTTCGTCGTCGTCGTCGTCGTCGTCGTCGTCGTCGTCGTCGTCGTCTTCGTCGTCGCCACCACCCTACGCGTCCAGCTCCTCGTCCATCGGCTCCACGCTCTACACGTCCAGCTCCTCGACCGTCGGCTCCACGCCCTCCGCGAGGCGAGCTCGGGCTGCCTCGAGCACGACCGCCTCCCCCTGGGCCCCCGCCTCTTGCAGGCGCCTCGCGCGCACCAGGGCCTCCAGGAGCCCAGCGCGCTCGCGCACAGATGCAAGCTCCTCCAGGATCACATAGATGTCGGCTCTGTCGCCAGCCGCGGGCGGGGCGCATGCCAGGAGCGCCAAGGCCACCACGGTCGCCCTCATGGCGCGCCGGGCTCGACGGGAGACTGACCAGGGGGCGTGGATGCGGGCACCGCGCAGGCGACTTGCATCGACCGGCTCAGGGTCCTCCCCCCTCCGTCTCCGCCCACTTCGTCGCCGACGTCGTGGTCCTCTTCAGGGTCGGCGGCACCGGCCGCCAGGCCTTCGCAATACAACATCGCGAGACTTCACGACCAAAACCCTGGACCATCACGGCTGCGCCGCTTCTCGAGCCCGATCGACCCGCGGGGGCCCCAGGAGGCCCGAGAGGCCCTTCCAGCACGCCGGGCTCGAAAAAAGTTGGAGACGCCATGCAGGATCTCGGCCGGGTCGTTCGGTGTCAGGGCGGACCTCGAATCACCTGGGGACTCCAACCTCCGAACACCCTCGGGAGCGGCCAAGAGGGGGGTGTCCAAGAGGGGGGGGGCGCAGATCATGACCGGCGGCATGTGCGCGGCCCAGCGGGGGGGCCAGAGACGTGATGGAATAAGAAGAGGCGCCGTGAAATCTGGGGAAATATCACGGCCCCCGCCATGATATCCACCCCCCCCTAGTCGTTGTGATTCCCGCTCACTCCCCGTGCCTTTCCTGCTCCTTCCCAGCTTCCCCGCTCTATCTCTCACGCCCGCCTTGTCGCCGCCATTTTGTTTCAAACTAGGGCCCTTGGCCTTAGAGCTACGCAGAGAGCTTCGCCGCGCGATTCCTCGACAAACGATATCAGCGATATCCATATCACAGTGGCAGCTTGGAGCGAGGCTCGCTATCCTGGCCCGCGGGGCCGTATACTCAAGACGACGTCCGCGACGTCGCACTCCATATTGGAATCGAGGCCCAGCGGCATCCTTGCGCTGTTGCTCAGCGCCAGCATCTACGCCAGCGTCAGCGACGCCAGCATCTACGCCAGCGTCAGCGACGCCAGCACCAACGCCAGCGTCAGCGACGCCAGCGACTACGCCTACTACGCCTACATCCCTGCCAGCTCCAACGCCAGCGTCAGCGACGCCAGCAACCCCATCTTTTTTCCCACCCTCAGCAGCGACGACAGCTACTTCTCCTACGCCTGTGTCAGCGACGCGGCATACTCCCTCTACGACGGTGTCAGCGACGCCACATACTCCCTCTACGACGGTGTCAGCGACGCCACATACTTCCTCTACGACGGTGTCAACGACGCCACATACTTCCTCTACGACGGTGTCAGCGACGCCACATATTTCTCCTACTACGAAGGTGTCAGCGACGCCACATACTTCTCCTACGACGGTGTCAGCGACGCCACATACTTCTCCTACTACGACGGTGTCAGCGACGCCACATACTTCTTCTACGACGGTGTCAGCGACGCCACATACTTCACCTACGACGGTGTCAAGATGACGGAGTTCACGCACAACCAGTCAGTGATACCAAGCTGGAATGGAGATCCAGCGAATGGCGAGATTACAAACAGGAGGTAAAATTGTGGAAGCTCAGTGAGAACTTGGAAGTGACACAAAGTTTGGCATCGAAGTTAGTCCTGCGTTTGACGGGTACAGCCAGGTCGGCTGCTCTCAATATGACGGAGCAGGAACTCCACCCGCCGCCGGACGACGGCATCGAGGATGCGAACGAGAAGAAGCGCGATCGCAACCAGAAGGGCATCGAGAACGTGCTAAAGCACCTCGAGACAAACCTAGGCCAGCAGAAGCCGGTGCAGAAGGGAGAGACGCTAGAAAAGTTCTTCGAGTCGACTCAGCACCATCGCCGCCGTGGAGAACGCATGACGGATTGGCTCGTGCGATTCGAGGCGGGACTACAGCAACTACGTGAGAACGAGGTTGACCTCACTACGCTTGACGACGTGGCCGGCTGGTTCCTGCTACGCAAGGCTGGGCTCACGGCCGAGCGCCGTGAGCGCGTCGTGGGCAACTTGCGGGACGAGCGCTACTCATTTCAGCGCATCAGGGGCCTGCTGGTGCGCATGTTCCCCGATATCCATACATCGGAACGACACACAAGCTTGCCGCCACGATCGTGGCCGCAGCGATCAAACAGTAGTTGGCAGCGCTCACCGCCAAGCCGAGCACGTTCAGCCAACATCGCTGACGAGCCAGAAGACGAGCATGAGGACTCGGAGGACGGCGACGACAATGACACGGAGGCAGACGTCCAGGACATCGTGCGCCAGGAGCTCGAGGCTTTCAGCGCCGAGCTGGAGCAGTCCAATTACGACCTCGGCGAGGTGTTCGATCGGGGCGACTCTGCCAAGGTGGAGGCTGCCGCGGCGGAGCTCGCCGCGATTCCCGAGGCCATGGCGACCATACGGTCGGCCCGGGAGGCTATCAAGGGCCGCGGGAAGGCTTCGCCCAAGCGCCGACCCGCGGGCAAGCTACAAGGCCGCGTGGACCAGCGCAAGAAGAACTCCAAGTGCTGGGACTGCGGCGAGGCGGGGCACTGGACCGGTGACAAGGAGTGCCCGACACCAGGCGCTCGAAAGTTCGCCCCAAATTCTAAGCAGAAGGGCGGGGGGCGAGGCGGCGGAGGTCGCTCGCACCGCCAGGCCAACATCACCGAGCAGGTCCACGACCAGAATCACGTGGAGTTCGGTGACGAAGAAGTGGTTCTTCATCCAGAAGGTCCGATCACTCCGCCCCCCGAGACTCTGGTCTCCGAGCGCGTGGTACCAGATTTGCCCACCATAAACACCACCAACGCTGGCGAGAAGCCCAACGACGACGGCGTCGGCGTGATCGACACTGCCTGTCTCTTCTGCGTTGGCGGGCTCAGCTGGTACAAGCAGTACAAGGAGAAGCTCGCCAAGATGGGTCTGGCCGACCAGATCCTGGAGGAGCCCGAGAACGAAGTCTACAGGTTCGGGAACGGCGGCACGCTCCCGAGCAAGCTGCGCGTCACAGCCCCACTCGTCCTGTGTGGACGCGCTGGTCGCATAGTATTCAGCGTCGTGGACAGCCCCACGCTCGGCCTGCTTATCGGCCGGGACTTCATTCAGCCGAGCAAGATCGACATCTCGCTCTGGCGGGAACAGATCCGCATCGGGAACCATTCCCAGAAGCTCATCACGAGCAGCGCAGGACATCCCGCGATCGACCTCCACCCGGAGGACTGGCTCGCCATCAAGGGCGCGGGCCATGAGTTTGGACCGAAGGCTGTCAGTACTAAGGGCATCGCCAAGCGGCCAGCCCCGAAGCCCACGGTCAACCTCACTACGAAGGCGAGCAACTTGCTCGAGAATATCACGAGACTCATTCCCAAGAAGGAGCTCAATGTACCGAGACGACTTCAACAGCGACGCGGCGGCAGCTCAAGGCTCATGGCCGCCGTAAGCTCTGCGTTGGTCTGCTGTTCGACGGCGGTCGCGCCGCCGACGTTTGCTCCAACAATGATTTCGGCTACTACCTGCGTCGCCGAGCCCCTCGACGATTGCGTGGCCTGCGGCACCAAGTCCTATACAGACTGTTGCCACCTCGGGTTCTGCTCCGAGTGTGTTTTCGGCAACTCGGTCACGCTGGACATCGAGAACGACAACGACCCGAAGGAGGTCAACATCGTGGAGGAGGAGCAGATGAAGGTACGTCGGCTCAAGAAAGGGACAAGGCTGCAACTGGCCGCCGGCAAGCGGTCGGCCATCGTCACCAACAAGAGCGGCGTTAAGCCGCACACAGTCAGCCAGGCGCTCAAGGCTGACCTGGCCAAGTCAACTACGAGCTCGAGCGGAATCTCGAGCAACACCACCATCCTCTACGAGTGGTGCTGCAACCCTGACAGCAAGCTCAGTGCGAAGTGGACTGAGAGTGGAGGAGCTGCTGTACGTTGCGGTCTTCCTGGATACGACCTCTCTCGGAAGCCCATCGTCGAGAAGCTCGAGGACAAGATTCGGAAGAACCTGCGGAAGGGCCAGAGTGCACGGGTCCATGCCGCATTTCCATGCACGCCATGGACCACGTTGCAGCGCATCATCCTGAAGATCGACCCCCGCAAGGCCGAGAAGCTGGAGAAGGACCGGAAGTATTCCGCGAGGATGATCGACCTTTTCCTGACGTCAATGAGCCGCCTGCGGAAGGAGTTTGGCAGCCAGCTCGCGGTCTCCTTCGAGTGGCCGCGCTACTGCGACGGCTGGGATCAGAAGAAGAACTACACCGCGAAGAAGCTGAAGGATCAGCTCCCGCGCATCATCGATTTCGATGGCTGCGCTTACGGCCTTCAGACCAGGAGCGGGGACGCGATCAAGAAGCCGTGGAGGATTATCACCGACCACTACGGGATCGACAACTCGCTGCACAAGCTTTGCGACGGCCTACACAAACACGTCGAGGCCCGTGGCAAGCTCGCCAAGGACAGCGAGAACTACACCGACAAGCTCGTCGCCATGCTGGTCAAGCAGCTTCGCAAGACGAACATGACCGAGCACCGCGAGGCAAACCCCGCGGAACCAACGAGACGGAGAGCCGCGAGGAGGACAGTGCCTGCCCCGGCAGCCCCCGCAGAGCCAGCCTTGACGGCAGCGGAGGAGCGGACGCTCAAGTCCGCCATACTGCAGCTCCACGTCAACACGGGGCACCCTGCCAACGACGCGTTGGCCCGGGCCATCCGAGTGACGGGTGGATCCCAAAGAGCGGTCGAGATGGCACTCAACCTGCACTGCGAAGTCTGCGCCGCCCATCGGCGACCCCTACCTCATCTACCTGGGAGAATCAAGCTAGATAGGGACTTCAATGGTTCCATTGGAGTGGACTTGTTCACTCTCGCCGACTACGCCGGCAATCAGTTGGTTTTTCTCAATGTGGTCGATCTCGCTTCTGGATTTACATTATGTGGTACAGTTTCTTCAAGACACCCCTCGGTTGTATTCGCGAGGCTTTTGCAGGTTTGGATTGCACCGTTTGGGGCTCCACAACGGGTACTTTTCGATGGAGGAGGCGAGTTCGAGAGAGAGTTCTCAAAGGAACTCGAGGACATGGGCTGTCGCCTTATGACTACTGCCGCGGCTACGCCGCAACAGAACGCCACCGTGGAAAGGCACGGCGGCATGTGGAAGGTCCACGCCAGGAAGCTGATCGACCAGTTCAGCATCAGGTTCGACCAGCCCGCGAACGCCCACAAGATCCAGTGGCTGCTCGCCGCTGTCTGCTGGGCTATGAACAGCTCAATCAATGCCAGTGGGTATTCACCGGCACAGTGGGTACTCGGACGTGGACTTCAACTACCCTACTGCCTGCTGGACAGCGCTGGGAGACTCTCGCTACACGAGAGAGTGGTCTCTGACAAGTCCTTCTCTGAGAGGATTGCCCCCATGAAGGCCGCCCAGACGTCAATCCAGCATCTGCGTTTCAACCAATCCCTATCCTGGGCTTTACTCGCACGATCGCGTGCGGATGGAGCTCAGCACGCGTCGGATATCTATCAAACGGGGGACCAGATATACTACTGGAGGGGGAACGGCAAGCCCAAGCGCGAATGGGCTTTGCAGCGGCATGGACCCGGCATCATCATTGGCTTCGAGGGCACCTCGAACGTATGGGTCAGCCATCGTTCCACCACCGTCAAGGTCAACCGAGGACATTTACGCCACGCTACTGCCTCAGAGCTCGTGCCCTGGGGACAGGTACTCAACGCCATGAACGGCAACCAGCCACCACCACCGCCAGGACAACCACCAGCTGACCAGCCCCCACCTCCTGACGGACCACAGCCACCGGGACCAGGAGGAGGGGACGAAGGATCACCACATGAAGGAGGAGACTGCGGTGGAGGCGGATTACCACCATCAGACCAAGGAGGAGATGGAGATACATTCATCGACCTCACGGGCGAAACGCCGAAGAAACGCCCGCGAGTGGACAACGTTCCGCCGGCACTACCACCTCCGCCGACGGCCATCAAGCAGCACAACTTCGGCAACATCGAAGATACTCCACACAATCGCCGCGCACATGCTACTCTTGAGTGGATTCGCCGACGGCAAGGAGATGAAGAATATACGACCAGTGGGGGCGCCTCAGGCAGCGGTTCAGCACCAGCACCTTCGGGAGGAGATCTTCCCGGGCTGCCAGCGCCTGTTGCTGACTCAGCTGCTGCCGCTGACCCCGACCCCGCTCATGACCCTGCTCATGCTCAAATACAAGCCCAAGAAGACCCAGATCGCGCTGAAGATCCAGCTCCAGAACCCACCGTGCAACCAGAAGTACATGACGAACAGCCTGAAGAACGCGATGGAACACGACTTCCACCACCAGGAGCTCGACGCACAGAAGCTGATGGACATTCATCGGATGCCGACAGCTCCGGATCCGAAGGTCTACGCGACTGGAGCCAGGCCGCGGAGGAGGAAGTTCGCAAAGAAGCCTTTGCCCGCAGACCACAACATCCTGAAGGACAACGCGGCAACAAGGTTCAGCGCCAAGCTCAACAAGAGGACGCACCTCGCGCCCTCGAACGTGACAGGCACGATCAAACAGACGACCGCAGCAAAGCCATCAAGCGCAAGGAATTCTTGGAGAGTCTCAAGGACGACCTACCCAAGTGCTTCAAGAGGCCGAAAGACACACTCAGGACCGACCTCTACTTGGACAACTATTTTGAGATCAACGACGACGATTTGCACTCGACCATCCGACTCCGGGAGGTGATGCTCACCGGAAAGGCCGCTGCTAAGGAGATCAAGTACGACAAGCTCTCCGCCAAGGACAAGAAGCCCATGGACAAGGCCACGAAGGTTGAGCGGTCCAAGTGGACCGAGTTCGGGGCCTACAAGAAGCTACCGCCCAAGGAGTTGAAGGAGATCTTCCAGCGACACCCTGGAATACGACCAGTTGGTACCCGCTGGGTGCTCACGCAGAAGGCCGCCAACCTCATGAAGGCCCGCCTTGTCGTCCAGGGCTGTCAAGAGGACAAGTCCCAGATCCGTACGGACGCGCCGACCGGGTCAAGGAACGCGCTTTACCTCACGCTTGCTGCCGCCGCCCAGCTTGGCTGGGACCTCACGTCGTACGGCGCGATGACGGCTTACCTGCAGTCGGGCAACATCGAGAGGCTGCTATTGCTGCGCATGCCAGCCAAGAACACGCCGCCAGGCACATTGCCCGGCGAGATCGTGATGGCGACTGGCGCCATCTATGGTACCCGAGATGCAGGACGCCAGTGGTACCTCTACGCCCAGAATGTGTTCCAGGAGCACGGCCTCATCGAGAGCAAGCTCGAGAAGGGCCTTTACTACTTCTACGACGACAAAGGGCTCGCTGCTATGATCCACTCCCATGTGGATGATTTTCTCATCGCCCAGCGCGGAAGCTCCAGCGAGTGGAAGCGAGTCATTAGCTCCTTGCAGAAAAGGCTGCACCTCAAGAAGGTAGAGGGTATCATCAAGTACTGCGGCCGGACAATCAACAAAATCAACGAGGAGTTCCGCATTGCCCAGGCGACGGCCGCCGCCCAGGTGGATTTCATCGAACTCAACGCCCAACGCGGACGATCACCAGAGGATCGGCTTACCACCTCGGAGGTCTCGGGATATCGCCACGCACTCGGCCAACTGCTTTGGCTCGCAGTACAGACGCGAGTGGACATCGCCTGCCCGGTGAGCCTTGCGGCTCGCCGCACCAACACCGCCACCGTGGCCGACGCCAAGACGCTGAACAAGACCGTCGCTTACGTGCACGGGTCCGCCGACTTCGCCATAGTCATCAAGCGCAACATCATCGACCTGCGCACTTGCACCATCATCTGTTTCAGCGACGCGGCCTTCGCCAATGTGGACGGGGTGAAGAGCCAGTGGGGCATGGCGATTGGGCTAACTCACAAGCCACGGGACGTCGTGGCTGGACGATATGACTTGTGCCTGCCTGTGGCCTGGCATTCGGGCACGGTCAAGCGATCCGTGAAGTCGACGCTGGCCGCCGAGGGCTACGCCACTCTGGAGGGCGCCGAGTCGAGCACGTGGTTCGGCCAGCTACTTACGGAGGCCTACAACCCGAAGAAGACGCTCAAGCAGATCGACGACCTCAGCACCAAACGATCCGGGGAGATCTACAGCGACAGCAACGGCCTGGTGACGCACATCAAGTCTGACGTGGGTCAATCCACGGACAAGCGGTTCCGCATCGTGGCATCAATGATCAAGGAGACGGTGCACCCCAACAGCCAGCTAAAGCTCTCGTGGATACCTACGTGGAGTATGGTCGCCGACGCGCTCACCAAGATCATGGAGACCGGAGTGCTCCTCGCTTTCTTCGGGGCCAAGAAGTACAACTTTGGCACTAGGCAACCGCACGCCGCCATGCTTGCCTCAGTGCTGATCACATGTCTCGGACGCGTGAAGGCACAGCATCCCCCACAGGAATGGCAAGTGCCGATGTCATATTGGGTCTACTACATGACATTCATTGCGATGCTCAGTGGGATCATGATTGGATTTACATTGTTCGCAGCGCTGTGGTTTGTGGTGCGAAAGGAGATATTTGGGCCAGGCGACCCCAATCCCATCCAGATCGGGACCATCAACAACACCAGCAATGGGTCCAAGGCCGACCACACCGGGCACGCGGACACTCCCTTGCCCGGAGTATATCCAGGATGGGATGGACGATACCTTGGACGTCGTAACAACGTACAGTCTACCATTCCCGAAGACGTCGACGGAGATGTTTACATGGAGCCGCCGATGATTGCCGTCGCAGCCCAGAGTTCATCATCAGCAAGCGGATCGGCAGCGCCAGCCGCACCGCCCCCATCACCGGACAGCTTCGCGCAGGGAACGAGCTCTGCGCCATCATCGCCGATGACGGTTCACAGTTCCTCGTCAGTCAGTGTGGTTTCGTGGAACGGATCGACGCCAACGGTTTCGCCATCGGAGATGAACGCATGTGTGGCCGCCGAGCACAACATACGTGTGGGACACAACACACATAGTGTCTACATAACCTGCAGGACGTGCAGGAAGCATGCGTCATGGCTTCGCAGGAATCGCATGACCCATGAGCCAGACTTTTCGAGGATGCACAATAGTCTGCGCTGGGATTTACAGAATAGATGGAGGCAGCTACAAGGACTGCCCGGCAAGGCGAAAGCTCAAAAGAAGATTTCGTGACGCACGCCGCCGCTCTATAACTGGCGCCACATTGTGTGGCAGATTACGTTAGTCCGCATCGCTCTGTCAGCTCGTTTTCTTTACACCTGGCGCCACATCGTGTGGCAGACTACGTTAGTCCGAATTGTCTTACCAGCTCGTTTTCTTTACATTTGGCGCCACATCCTGTGGCAGATTACGCTAGTCCGCATTGTTCGAAGCTTCATTCAGTGTGCACAGTTTTTCTTTATGTGGTGACGACCACACTATTGAGATTTTATCTTGATAAGATAGCGCTATTTGAGTTTTGTCGCATAGCGATCGGACTCGCGCCGCTGTTTGCTTTGAGAATTTATGTATTTCTTGCCGGTGCGTGTAGCAGCACCCGTTAAATGCCCTGGGGCAGCCGGATAGCATGCCGACAAGGCCGTTTGCCTGTGTTTGTTTTGGAGTGCTCTGATTAATGAAGTGAGCTGCGATCGATGATCGTCGCTCGACGGCGCCGCGAGCGTCAATCAGGAGGAGTGTGATTCCCGCTCACTCCCCGTGCCTTTCCTGCTCCTTCCCAGCTTCCCCGCTCTATCTCTCACGCCCGCCTTGTCGCCGCCATTTTGTTTCAAACTAGGGCCCTTGGCCTTAGAGCTACGCAGAGAGTTTCGCCGCGCGATTCCTCGACAAACGATATCAGCGATATCCATATCACAGTCGTCCCCCCCCTCTTTTCTGCCCCTGACACCCTCTCCCCCCTCCTCCCCTCCCCTTCGAAGCAGACAGACCGCCGTCCTCGGCCGCCTCGGCGGCTGCGTCCGAGTGGCTGAGGATCTTGCGGGCGAACCAGAACGGGGAGCGCAGCAAGGCTACGAAGGCCTCGCCGCCGATGCTCCTGCAGCTCGGGTGCGCGGAGCGCCGCGCCGCACCGGGGCGCCACCGAGCCACTCGAGTGGGCAGAGTCAGACGATCCCCATTTGCCTGGCAGCTGGGAGGAGCACTGCGCCCACGATAGGGGGTCACATGCGAACCCTACCCCTACCCCCCACGGTTTTTGAGGGGGAGGGTGGGGTTCACTTCGCTCGGGAGTTCCTGAACGAAGTGAACCCCACCCCCCCCCTCAGAAAGCATGGGGGGTAGGGGTAGGGTTCGCATGTGGCCCCCGACACGAAGCACCCTGAAAAATGCAGGGGGCTGCGGGGACGCGAGGGCCGAGCACCCAGTTCTGCTGGCGCCTCCTGCAGCTGGGGCGCCGTATGAGGAAGCGTCCCGCACATGGGGCGACCAACGGAGGTGGCGAACACAACACCAGGTGTGTGTGTGTGTGTGTGTGCGTGCGTGCGTGCGTGCGTGCGTGCGTGCGTGCGTGCGTGCGTGCGTGCGTGCGTGCGTGCGTGCGTGTGTGTGTGTGATTGTGTGTGTGATGTGTGTGTGTGTGTGTGTGTGTGTGTGTGTGTGTGTGTGTGTGTGTGTGTGTGTGTGTGTGTGTGTGTGTGTGTGTGTGTGTGTGTGTGTGTGTGTGTGTGTGTGTGTGTGTGTGTGTGTGTGTGTGTGTGTGTGTGTGTGTGTGTGTGTGTGTGTGTGTGTGTGTGTGTGTGTGTGTGTGTGTGTGTGTGTGTGTGTGTGTGTGTGTGTGTGTGTGCGTGCGTGCGTGCGTGCGTGCGTGCGTGCGTGCGTGCGTGCGTGCGTGCGTGCGTGCGGGTGGGTGGGTGGGTGGGTGGGTGTGTGTGTGTGTGGGGGGGGGGAACGTCACGCTTTCCATCGCAAAACCCTCGAATATGGGGGCCACATGCGAACCCTTATCGAAACCCGAGAAACCCAGGGCACCCCGGAGGCAAGCAGGGTGTTTCTTGGCGTGGGCTTCCACTGCAGTGCACCTCTTGGGCCCGCGGTGGCCGTTTGGGACCGTCTGGGGCCACTTTCCTGCCTGCGACCCTCGATGTCCCCCTAAGCCCCCAGAACTCATTGCCCCCCCCCCCACGGAGGTAGCGAACACAACACCAGATGTGTGTGTGTGTGTGCAAGTTGAGCAAAGGAAGAGGTGAAGCAGAGCCGAAAGCGCGAATCACGACGAGCAGATATGGCCGAGATCCGACGTTGCGAACAAAAATGCGACATCGCGACAAATCACGACCAGAGCCCTAGACCCATTCTTCTGCGGCATTGTCGAGCCAAATCGATCTGTGGTGGTCCCAGAGAAAAAGCGCCCGGTGCAGGGCCCGGATCTCAGGGCATGAGCCCTGGTATCTGACACCGCCCTCAGAGGTCCTGGGAGGTCGACCCAACCTCGGTTGGTTTTCATACTTCTGTTGCATCGGGAGATTGTCCCGAACGGTGCGACAAAATCAGGCGGCAACTCCCGCCTCGAAACATTCGGGCGGGCATCTCCGCAGAGCCATGGCGGAAACGGCGGCGGCCAGGCAGGGCGGAGATCGACCTCAGAGGAGGCCCTGCCGACAAACTCGCCCAGCGTGCGGCGGATCTGGACCTGGAAGCTCTCGCGTGGACCTCGCGCCGTGTGCCGCTCTCCGTGGGGCCCGGGGGGGCCCGAGCGAGCACCCGCAGGGCGCCGCACAGCGAGCGCTGGCGCCGCCGCCGCCGCCGCGCCGAGGCGGCGCGAGGCTGGCCTGTTAAACAGGCCACGGGCAGCCGAAGAAGAGAGGAATCGAAGAAGAGAACGCACACACCTGAAGGGGCCCTAGGACACACAATAAATACACACAAATAATAGGATTCCCTGTATTTTCATATATTTTCTGGGTTTTTGTCTTCTCCCCCACTTCCCATATTTTCTGGGGAATCGACGATAAATTGTGTCTGTGTGTTTCTTTTCCTCCTGAACACCGTGAGCGCGTTTTCTTAATGATTCGCGATCACGGCCGTTGCCGGGGGATGCTCCCCCCCTCCCAAACCCCCAACCTGGAAACGTCACGGTTGGCCCCAGGGCCGTTTGGAAATTTCTAGGTGCAGCTGTTTTCAAGACGGCGGCGCCGGCGCGATTCGTGACGTCACCAGCGCCCTTTCCCCCCCTGTAGCGGCCGTTATCGCCAGGGGATGGTTGAACAAGCGGGTCCTTTCACGATTGGGCTTGAATGGAGCGGACAAGGCGAGAGGGCAGCACACCCTCCCGAGGACCACAGTGCCATAGGAATGCAGAAGGCATGGGCCGCGAACCACAGGACACGTTGGTACCCTTGATTTGGCAGGGTCGACCGACTAATCCAGATTTCGTAATAAAAGGGAGGGGGTCTGGACCCTCCAAGACAAGCCATTTCAGACCTCCCCCGTGGGAGAACCCTCCAAAACATCGTCCCCAGACCCCCCCAGGCCCTCCAAGATAGCCTGGAAGAGACCCCCCCCCGAAATGAGACCCCCCTCCCTTTATTACGAAATCTGGAGTATCGTTTCCCGAGCGGTGTGGCCAGAAAGCGCCAAACACGGCGCATGTACTACAAGATTTCTCGGTGCGCGCGTCGCCCCTGGGGTGGGTTGGGGTGGGGGGGGGCGACGCACACATAATATTAGTATGTTGGGGTGACGCCGAGGAAAGGGTGGAGAGGGGCAGGGCGAAGAGAAAGGGAACGGGGGCGGCAGAGACGAGGCGAAGGGCGTGGAGGAGGGAAGAGCAGGGGAAGACAAGGGCAGAAAACGTGCAGACGCGAGGGAGCCGGCGCCGGACAGAGACAAAGAGGAGAGCGCGCACGCGCAAGCTCCCGAAGCTGGCAGGGTGGCCCGCGCCCGCCGTGCTCACGACGTGCTGCCCGAGGCTCTCGCAGCCGCAGAGGCTGGCGTGGTCGGCCCAAGCTTTGCAGGCCTTCTGTGGCAACCCATGGGAGCATCCCAGACCATCTGATTGACTTACGCGAATCGGCGCTAATGGACACTACCCCCGTCAAAAATAACCTCAAAAATGTCTCACGTAGCTGAACTGATTGTGGGAGATATCGGACCGAGTGCCGATGAGTGCGATGTACTTGTGTGCGCCGGCCCTCCAATGTCGGTCATCTTTGAATTTTCGAGTCGCTCCCGGTCACACCACATCTGCCCTGGCCCCGACATTGAAGGGGCGTCGTATCGACATTGAAGGGGCGCGCCGACATCGAAGGGACGTGCCCGCCATTTTGAGGTTAATTTTGACGAGGGTTGTAGTCGCCGTTAACTCGGCGCTGTCTCACCGAGTATCCGATACTGATCGGCGCCAACGCACTCTAAAGACGGAAGTGCGAAGGCATACATGGCCCCCATGGTTTGCCACCGAGCAGGCCCTCTCGCCGGTGCGCCAGTCGGTGTACATGGGGCACTTGTTCATGAAGGAGGCCTCGCGGGTAAGACAAACCCAACTTCAAGTCGGGCGTGTCCCCCATACAGGGAGATTTTTGACGAAAAATAAAACATACCCCAAACATATTCAAACGATGCCCAAACATACTCACAAAATAGTCCCCATACTATTGTTTGCCTATTTTTGAATCTTCCCCCCTGTAGAGGGAGAAGCCCGACGTAAGGGCAAGACAGACCCGAGTCTCCGACGATCCGATGCTGTTCCAACCCCTGCGTCCCTCCTCGACGTCGGCCTCTGGGGCCCGCTCTCGGGTCGGACTAGAAACCAAGGGCTCCCAACGTCGCGCTTCGCGCGAAGCGCGACGCGCGGAATGCGAATAGCTTCGCGCTCTCGCGCCGCCTCCCGGGGGAGAGGAGGAGGACGAGAAGCAATCCGAGCCCAAGCGCGAAGCGCGGATAACTTCGCGCCCTCGAGGGCGCCCTTGAAAAACTGCTCCGGGGAAGGAGTCGGACCTCTGGTGCCAGGTGTTGAACAAATCGCGAGCTGAGCAAAGAGAGCGGATGCGCTGGGCGTGAACCACTTAGGAGGCAACTGTTGGGAAACCTTGGCAAGAACGACTGAAAGCTATGTAGTAGGCCCGAGGACAGTGTTTTTGAACTGGATTAGCCAGGTCAGGACCCAGCCAGATTAAGCCAGACTAAACCAAATTAAGCAGGATCACGCGGGATTGAACGGGACTGAGCCGGATTGGGCCAGTTTTCGACCACGGATATACCGACGCCGTGCTCAATTCAACCTCCCAAGAGTTGCATGTGTCTAAGAAGCGGGCACGTCCCATATCTAAACCGCAATGTCTCAAGTGCTCGTTTTTGCTCAGTATGGCCATCATATCGCACGGACTGGTGGCGCTTCCGCTGCATGCTTTCTGCGGCCTCTCTTGCGACTGCCCACCAGGCGTCACGAACTGGAGCCTCGTATGTATTGTTCCACTTCTGCATGCGCGTCTTCAGGGGCAAATAGTAGAAGTTCTCATCGTCGCAATCAAGTGGCAACAGCGTCTGAAGGCAGTGTTTCAAACTGCAGCTCACTTCTGTCGCCCCTCCCCGACAGACACACACACACACACACTCTGTCAACAAATGATTGGTCAAAAACCCAAGTGCCCATTGAGTGGGCACTTTGAGACCTTCTCCTAAACAATGCGTGCACTCAGGGGGTATCCCTCGCCCTCTTGAGCATCAAGCTGGGTGGGTGCTGCGGGCTGTCGCCCAATCGCCCCGCCCGTCGCCGCCTCGTCGCTCTCCCACTCGCTGGCTCGGCGCTCTGCGTTTCCGCCCGGTCGCCCCCCCGTCGCCGCCTCGTCGTCGACCCGCGCGCAGGCTGGGTGAGTTTGGGGCTTTCGCCCTTCCGCCGCAGGCCGCCGCCTCGTCGTGACTTCGTGCGCTGGCCGCGTGTTCAGGGCCTTCGCCCGGTCGCCCCCCCGTCGCCGCCCCGGCGTCGACCCGCGCGCAGGCTGGGTGAGTTTGGGGCTTTCGCCCTTCCGCCGCAGGCCGCCGCCTCGTCGTGACTTCGTGCGCTGGCCGCGTGTTCAGGACTTCCGCCCGGTCGCCGCCCGCCGCCGCCCCGTCGCCGCCCCGCGTGCCGGCTGGGCGCTCCGGGTTTCCGTCTGGCGGGGCACTGGGCCTGCACGGTGGCGAACCATGCTTGGTGCCTGCGGTGTCGGCTTTACAATATGATGTTCAACATGACTGGCGACGCGCAAGCCGTCCAACACTTCCAGAAGCCAACATGGGGACGAAACGGATTTGACAGGATGGCGGGTTATGAGAAACGTGGTGTCCTCGTCCATGTTTTCGGCTTTACAAGCCAGGCCTCGGACAAAAATTAGCGAGCACTCATGCCACATTCGTCTGTGAACGCCTCCCCCTCCCCCCAAATGTTCAAAGTTGGCGGTGGGTCTGATGAGTTGCACCTCGACCGCAGTCTCCCCCCCGCGTGCCAACTTTGAATTTGGGGGGGCAGGGGGGGGGTCACTAATTGTTTCCCTCTACCGTCTGATGTTCAACATGACCGGTGACGCGCAAGCCGTCCAACACTTCCAGAAGCCAACATGGGGACGAAACGGATTTGACAGGATGGCGGGTTATGAGAAACGTGGTGTCCTCGTCCATGTTCGGCTTTACAAGCCAGGCCTCGGACAAAAATTAGCGAACACTCATGCCACACTCATCTGTGAACGCCTCCCCCTCCCCCCAAATGTTCAAAATTGGCGGTGGGTCTGATGAGTTGCACCTCGACCGCAGTCTCCCCCCCGCGTGCCAACTTTGAATTTGGGGGGGCAGGGGGGGGTCACTAATTGTTTCCCTCTACCGTCTGATGTTCAACATGACCGGCGACGCGCAAGCCGTCCAACACTCCCAGAGGCCAACATGGGGACGAAACAACGGATTTGACAGGAGGGCGCGTTGAGAGAAACGCGGTGGACATTGAACGAACGGGAAGCTTACTGAACCAACGCAATGGTAACGAAATGGAGCGTCAATGTCCAAACCAACGTGTGTCTGCATGACGGCTTCATGCGAATCTCGCACGGAAACAAAACACAACAAATACCACTTCCGAAGAGAAATGACTCTCGCGGTGCGCCGCTGCCAGAGGGCAGCCGTGCTGGATACAGGAATAGCAGCGCGTCATCCCGATGATTCAATAATGCAGCGATGAAGACATGATGCCACACATCAAAGGCTGCCCCCACTCGTGGAATCCAGAGGAGCTCCTTCGCATCGCGGAAAGTCTGGAGAAACTCGCTGTGCCTGCTCGTGTAGAAGAGCTCGGCGTCGCCACGCCGCAGCACCCACCTCTCCCTGGTGCGCTCCCATGTCATGCCGCTGGCTCTGTTTTCACGGCATCGTGGCGCCGCTGGGTATATGCCTCATTGGCTAGGAACTGCAAGGTGCAAGAGGCTATGACATCGCGCTTGTCCCCATAAGCGGGGGGCATATGCTTTAACGATCGAAAGATCTACCCCGCCCCCCCGTCAGGGTGAGTTTGCAGGTGCCTGGCAGTATATATACATATATACTATATACTATATACTATGTACTGCTGTGGGAGAATATAAGATACTGTTCTAGCGGTGTGTGTATGTATGTATATATATATACAACTATATATGTATATGCACTGCTCTGGCATTATATGAATATATGTATTCTATATAAGTTCACAAGAAATCAGTACCGCTTCGCGCCACGCCCCTTGGTCCTTCAAGTTCCACACACAGGCGGAATGGCAGAGAGAAAGAAGGAGCAACAAACACATATTATAGCACAGAAATAAGCAAAGGAAAGAAGAAGGACAAGCACAGTGCATTACTGTCCACCTTTTCGCTCTCGTCGCGATCTTCATTTTCCTTATTATCCCGTCCTTCCTTTTCCTCGTTCACGCCATTCCCTGTGAAGCCTTTCCCGTCCTCCTTCTTTCTGTGTTTTGTTGGCGGAGGATCCTTCTTGCGAGGTCCCCAGAGGGCCTCTCGGAGGCATCCTGGCGGTTCTTGGGGGCCCATGGAAGCTGTCTAGGAGCCTTTCGCGAGCCTCTGGGCCTTCTTGGGGGCATGTTGCTGCCAACCGCGGGATCCCTCAACGAACGGGTCCCGACGTGGAATGCCTTTGGGGGCGTCTTGGGGTCATCTCGACTCGTCTTGGAAATCTCTTGGGGCCTGTTGGACCGTCTTGGGGCTCTCCTTGGCTGCCTTGAAGCCTGATTGGCCCGTCCTGGGGCGAACTAGGGGCCTCTTCGGCGGCTCCGGGCGCCCGGGAACCCGAAGAAGCGAATGTCACCGAATCGCACAAAAACGGTAAAAACAAATCCCATGTGTTTGACGTTTGAGGGTCTCTCGGGGGGCATTCGTTGGGTCGTCTTGGGGCGTCTCGGGGGTTTCTGGAGCCACCGTCGGCTCTCGTGAGCAGTTCGGGCGCCTTGGCGACCGACGTGGGCCTGCTTCCAGTCCTGGCACAGACGGGCAGGAGACCCAGAAGCCCGAGGAGGTATTTTGCAGGGGCGTCCAGGAGGACTGGGAAGGCCGAACTTCGCTTGGGGGAAGTCGCCTGTCCAGGGCCCCCTAACCTGTCAAAATCTATGAAGAGAAGATCATTTGCACCATCAGACTTCCCAGACAGTCTCTCTGTCGCAAGTAGTTGCTTCCTTTGCACCAGCTGGAACCATTATCATCCCCGCAAGGGTGCGCCCCCAACAATACAATATCAGTGGGGCACGCCAAAAAACATCGGCCACCATTGCCACGACAACTACCGCAACCGCACTCATGCATGATACTGACATCCTGCAAGTGGCCACACACAGCGAGCGCAGCGACTATCCGTACTTTCGTGCGTTCGGTTGAATTGACGATGGAGCGTAGAGGGTCCTTGATGCAATCCTTGCATCAAAACAACATCCAATGACTCTGGACTTAAACCAGAGAGTGCGGAATCTGCCGTTCATGCGCGAAATGAGACAGCAATGCGTTGGCGGTGGGCGATCTCAGAGGAAATATGGATTCTCCACCTTCTGATCTGTGATGCGCCCACTGCTCTTTACACTCTGGCGCTCTCTCTCTCTCTCATTCTCTCCTCTCTTTTTTTCTCTTTCTCTCTCTCTCTCTCTTTCTCTTTCCCCCCTATCCCGCTAATGTATGGTCTCTCTCTCTCTCTCTCTCCCTGCTCGTTCAACTATATATCAGGTTTGGTCACTATATATATATATATATATGCATATATATATATATATACCCTCTCTCTCTCCTGTGAATGTACGTACGTGCGTACGTATACATCTACATAAAAGGTTCCCATGCGTGTATCATCTAATATTCATGTTTTTGTTTTCTCTCTCTCTCTCTCTCTCTCTATTTGTCTCTGTATCTCTCTCTCTCTCTTTCTTCCTCTCGTATGAATATGCATACGTCCACACAAACATATACGTGTATGCACGTATGCACAATAAGTGTCTCTCTCTCTCTCTCACTCTTTGCCTCTGATGTTCCTTCCCTCGCTTGTTCACTCGCTCTGTCTCCCTCTCGTCCTGTCACTCGTTCTCTTTGTCTCTTTCTCTCTCGTTCTCTTTCTCGTTCTCTCTTTTTCTCTCTCTCTCTCTCGCGCTATGTTTGTTGTCTCTCTCTCTCTCTCTCCCGTTCTCTCTCTCTCTCTCTCTCTCCCGTCTCCACTCACGTCGTACGTCTCCAAGTTGGCTAGCTCTGCCACCAAGTCTCTCCAATCTGTTCTAAAATGTACGATCTGTCCTTCTATATGTATATATACAGACATATACCCATGTCAAATTAAATCTGATATCCACAGTATAACTTCCGCCCTTTACGCGCTACTCTTCACAATCAGGTGACTCCTTCTTGTTCCCCACGTTAAGCGATGTATCGCTCGCCCTCAGCAGTTTGAGCTATGCGCTACGATCTGCATGCAGGCCTCATTATTCTACGCTCTGCGATGTACGATTACTCCTCTGCCATAAGCGCGGATACATTTAGTATGTATCTACCCTGCCTGCTCGGCTCTCGCATAGGTATCGCCCCTCTCTCTCTCTGTGTCTCTCTCTGTCTCTCTCGTTGTTGGTTCTCGTTATCTCTCTTTATCTCTCTCTCTCTCTCTCGCTCTCTCTCTCTCTCTTTCTCTCTCCCTTTCTCCCCATCGATCCCTGTCTGCATTTGTATGTGTAAGCAGTGCGTAAATAAACTGGCACACATACGCATATGTATATGACTCTCTGCGTGTATGCATATATATATATATATATATATATATGTAAACATACACAAATAAACACAAACATACATCGTTCGTAATCGAAGGGTCCACACGGGGGTCCACTGGAACCGACTCGGGCATCCTAGTGAGCTCAACAAGAACAAACGCCGCCCTCCGAATTTGTGTACGTTGATCGGCCCACCCATCCTCATTGGGCGGCTGCGGGGGAACACGAACAGTGTTGCACAACTGATCAGCCATGACAATCGCCTCGATCTCTACTGCCGTGGGGGGTCCACTGAGACCGATCCTCGAGGACAGACATGATGGCACCTGGACCCCTCGTGGGCGTGCTAGACTCCGCAAGATCCCGCACTGCACGTCGTGGGAACAGGTGCCACGGTCGGGGATGAGAGGAAACGCGCGATATCTGAACCTACGCGGCTGACCCCATCCTGGGCGCGGAGCCTGGCCGAGGTAAGCCAGGCCCCCGAAATCGTCTTACGCGCGGGACTTTGCCAGGGCGGGGCGAGTTTCGAGAGGGCTGCTCGAAGCGGGGGCCACGAGTCGGGAACGAACTCGGGCCCCCGGGATCTCGGACACCGAGCCAGGAGGAGGCGGGGGACATCAGGGCAGAGGGAGGCAAGGGGGGAGGCAGACAACACTTTCTGCACGCGCACTCGTGCGCCCCCGCTCTCCGCCTCAGCGCTGCGGAGGGCCTGCCGCGAGGGGGCAGCGGGGCGCTCGAGCGCAGCCTCGTTCACGAATCCCGCCTCGGCCTCGGCTAGGCCCAACACGAACGGCTTGGGGCACAAGAAGGTCGGCGACCAGTTCTGCTCGCCCATGGCCTGGGGCGCGCCGGGTTCCATGACCTGCCCCGCCAGCCATCGCGGGAAAGACGCGCTGGCTGCGCAAGCGCGCGGCGAGGGGCGGGGGCGCCCCACAGGAGGCAAGGCCCATCCCCCGCGCGAGCCACTTCGCCGCCGCCTTCCACCAGACATCCCCTTCCCGCGCGGCAGGGCCGATGACGAACCCGAGGCGCTCAGCCTCGCCCTGGGCGGACGTGCCCGGCCACGCGGGCAAGTGCCCCAGGAGCCAGGCGCGCAGCTCGCAGGCGGCGGCGTCCGAGAACTCGGTGTCCAGCGGCATCAGGATGCACTTGTGGAACTTCAGCTGCAGCCCCGCCAACGCGCGCGCCGCCTCGAACGCCCTCCAGAGGCCGAGGAGGGGCCTGCGGGACTGGAGCGCACGGCCCACGTCATCATCGCGCGCCCCCAGAGAGAAAAGGGGGCCCCTGTCCGCGTCGCGCATCACGCGGCGGATAAAAAGGTTCATCGCGATGGCCCACGTGCTGCCCGACGACGGGCAGCCTCGGGCGACCCCGCAGGTGACGCAAGCGAAGCTCACCATCACCCCAGCCACCTGCGCGAAGGCGGCGGGGAGCCAGTAGAGGGGGGGCAGGGCGCGCAGGACGCCTCCCTCGAAGCCCGAGAAGACCAGCATGCTCGCCGCCCACTCCACCATGAGCGACCGGAGAGCGTCGCCGAAGTCGAGGAGCGCCAGCAGCGGCTTTGCGAACGTGCTCGCTTGGAAGCCAGCCGCCCTGGCCGTCGCGTCCAGCAACGTCAGGTTGTCCAGGAAGTTGCGGCCCTTGAGGATGCCGCGACGAGGGGCAGGAAATGCGCTCTCCGCCGCGGCCTCGATGCCGGCGTTGGTGGCGGCGGCCACCAGCTTGCAGCGGGAACTCTTCAACGCGATCGCTCGCGCGGCGCTTGGCGCGCGGAAGGCGCTGTCGACAGCGTCCTCCTCCAGGGGGCCCTGGGGGGGAAGGCCAGCAAGTGGTCATTCCAATCAACTTGGGGCGCCCTGCCCGTCGCGATCTCTGGGGCGACGTCTTCGAGTGCGCCGACCGCGGCAGGGCGGCGCCGCCGGGTGTAGCGCGGCGGGCCGTCGGGCCCAGGAGCCGACTCTTCGCCCTCGATGCTGCGCGAGCGAGGGCAAACGTGTCTGGCGGCAGGACCCCCTTCCACCAGTATCTTGTGCATCTTGGGCGCGTGAACCTCCGCGTGCTTCGTCGAGAGCCGCTGCCAGACCGCGACCTGGGACTTGACCTGGAAGACCAGCGCCCAGTGGTCACGCGGCGCCTCTACCATGTCAGCGTGCTCGGCGAGCACCTTGAATCCATCATGATCAAGAACCTTGGCGCCCTGCAGCTTGAGAGTCCTGCCGAACGGGGCCCGCAGCGCAGCGCGCTCGTTGAGCTTCCTCCGCAGCGCGTCGATCATCTTCAAGGAGGTCACGCTGGGAGACCTGGCCTCCCCGGCAACGAGGGCAGCCGCCCGAGCCTCGAAGTGCATCTGCTGATCCTCGGCGAAGCTGCGGGCGAAGGTGGGGGATGGAAGGGGGTGACCTGAGTGGCCGTGACTTCGATGAACAGCTTCGCAGGCTCGCGCGCCTGGAGAAGACGGCGCCCGAGCTCCGCGTCATCGCGCCAGGCCGCTCGCGAGATCGACCGAAACATCAGCCGCTCGTTCTCCCCGCGAGGTTGCCTCAGTCGCGCGTCACGAACGCAGCGAGCGCATCCTTCATGAGCTGATGGCGGCGGCGACGCTTGCCGAGCGCCGAGAGAAGCCCCCTGTCCACCGGGCCACGCAAGCGCTGGCACGGCAACCTGAACTCGGGGCCCTTGAAGAGGCGCAGCGGGATGCGCTGCTGGTCGTGGGACTCGGGGCGACGAAGAGCGCCCGAGATGGCGACGGGCGCGCGGTCGCTGAGCCCCCTCTCGCGCAGCACCTCGGGCACGTCGGCGGCGGCCGCGGATGCGTGGTGCTGCAGCGCCTGCAAACTCGGGGTCGAGATGAAGACCCTGTCGATCTGCGTCGGCTTGCCGGGCGCGTGGTGCGCGGGGAGCTCGCTGCCGATCTCCATGGCGCGCGAGAAAATGCCACGCCAGAATCGCTCATGTGGTCGAGCGACCGCGTCACGAGGGATCCTCCCTCTGTCTACCTCGGGCGCCCCCGGGCACATCGGCAGTCGCTTCTAGAAGTTGAGACCTCCAAGGAACAGCGCGGTAACACGATCAAGATGCATCTCGGCCATCGTCAAGTCCGAGTAGAACTCGGCACGGAATGCGTGCACAGTGTAAACAATACTGCAAGAACCTAAATTCCCACCGACAGCGGGGCCTTCGCGAGGACCCACTCCTCCTTGACACGCAGGGGCGCGGGTGTGGCCGCCATCTGCAGCAGGTGTGCCAGGATCCGCAGTCGCTGGATACGGCCAGGCACAATGACGTCATGCACGAAACTGGCTCGCTCGCCCAGCTCACCGTCGCAAGGCACGATAATGGCGACTCCACCTGAATGAATTCGCGGGATAGGCTCAACAACTCGGCAAGGAACATGCAATCGGTGGAGAGCCCGGTGCAGCTCGGTGCTAGTGGCGTGCACCCTCTGGATCGCCATGGCCGCGCCACGGCGCAGCATGGGGGCCAGGAAGCGGAGCTTGTGTTCTCGAGCTCCGCCAGCCCGACGGTCATGATAGAGTGAAGCGCGAGCGTTCCACGTGCCAAAGGCAACGGGCGCGGCAGCCTGGGCCATCGCACACCAGCTCGCGATGCGGTTGCCAAATCGACCACTGGATGCGCTTCGGGGCGCCGCAGCGCTCCTCGAAGGCGGCCTTGATCGCAGACTTGTGCAAGCCCTGATCCGTGACCATGCAGCGGTTCCACTCGAGAGTCGTCGGCTCGGACGACACGTCGGGAATGATGAGCTTGATGACGGGCGAAGAGCCCTTGTAGATGACTCCCTACGCGCGGTGCGCACGCCATGACCATGAATGAGCCTTGACCAGCTCGAGCAACTTCTTGGTCTGCATCTCGCGTCTGACCATTTGCGCACTCTGGTCCAAACCCACGAACACAGATGTGCGCGAGCCAGCTGGGATAGAGCACCCGAAGTGACGCCATTCGCCGCCGTCCAGCTTGAGGTGGCGCAAGGCCTGCTGGACGCGACGTGCCGCCAAGCCCTCAACCCCAAAGAACTGCAGCACGAACCGCTGTCCAAGGCTGTCCCCACAGAGCGCCCACTGGTCGGCCGTGAAGCCTCCAGCGTCCAACCACGGCTGCAGGGACTCCTGAATGGCGGACTTGGCGACGAGCTCCTTCGTCGAGACCCCGACGAAGTTCGCCATCTCGACGATGTCGATGGTAGCGGGCACGGCCTGCTCGCACTGCGCGACGACCTGTTGCAAGCGAGCCAGGTCCGCCCGCATGTCACGATGAGCCTTCTCGAGCGAATCCTGTGGGAAGTCGAGGTCCTTGACGCGGAAGCCCATCTCCTCATTGAAGGCCGCCTGGCGCTCCGCGAAGGAGCGGATGGCCTTGGCGGTGCTCTCGGTGACAGTGCGCGCCATCTTGGCAGCGCTCTCGGAGATGGTGGCGGCCATGAACTGGGTGATGTCCCCGCTCAGCTCGGCCAGGATGTTGTCCAGGTCGCAGCGCAAGACAGGCCATTCGTCAGGAAGAACATCCGACGCAGCAGCGGTAGCCTCCTTCCACGGGTCGGTGTCCGCAAGCTGGTCGCGGGCATTGCGGCCAGGCCTGGGGCTGCGACTGGCCTTGACCTGCGACGCCACGGGGTCGCCGATGTAGTGGTGCCTGGACGCCTGAATATCACCCTTGCCACTGCGCCCACTGCGCTAGAAAAAAAACATCATCCCCATCTGGCATCCCCCAGAGGGGCATAAAGGCGAACGTACAGTCTGAAACCTCGGTGCCTCCAGCTGGAGATGCGCAGTGTCGAATGACGTGTGCAACAAGGGTACCCTGATCACGTGGGGTCACACTGGTGAGTTCGTGGGCCGTGACCCCCACGCATCGTCCTGAGCGAAACACTCCGGACTTGAGTCAAACTGGCTATAATATATGAATATATAAATACACGTACGCACCTGACCCGCGTAGTCCTTCTAATCTTCCAATCATATACAGAGTGACTTCCCTCCCCCCTCTCATTCTCTAACCCTCCACTCCCTTTCCTGGTTCCACTCTCTTATATCTCTCTCCCTCTTTCTCTCTGCCCTCTCTCTCTGTCTCTCTCCCAGTCTCTCTGTGTCTGGCTCTCCTTCTCTTTCCCTCTCTCTCTCTCTCCCTCTCTCTCTCTCTCTTTCTGCACTTCCCTCTGCATCTGTACCCCCATGCTCATCTCTTGAGCTTTGTTGTTTTCTCTCTCTCTCTCTCTCGCTTTCTCTACTCGCTGTGGGGCCTACTCTCTTTACTCCCCTGCCCTCTCCACTTGCTCATCTACTCTCCTGTGACTCCCTCCTACACTACATCCTGCCCATGCTCGCAAGGACCCTGGGTACCTGGCCACCACCAGCACTCGAAACTCCAGAAACGGGGAACTGGGAGCCCAAGATCCAGGACCCACAGTCCTCCTCCTCCATCCCCCTCCTCCTCCTCCTCCTCCTCCTCCTCCTCCTCCTCCTCCTCCTCCTCCCTCTCCTCCTCCTGGGAATCTGGCCGTCCGCCTACCGAAATCGGCTCGGCACTCCCGCCACATCCGTACACATTCGGAAACACGGGGTCTCGGGATCCAAGCCGCCAACCGAGATCGGCCTCCCACTTCGCTCGATACCTTCAGTAGAAGCACTAATTGGGGATCAACCTCGAGGGCCACTCTGATATTGCAACCCATGCAGCAGGTGATCTGCATGCGTCTGAATCGGTCCATCTAACTCTGCCAGGGGACAACTTGATAATACTGCCGATTAGCGATGCCACAAATGAAAAGTCGTCAGTACGCAGCCACTCATGGTGGCTAAGAGTTTCCCTGCTAACTCCTTCGCGATGGCTCAGCGATGTATTACAACCTGTTCCTGACTTCCCTTCTCGATATACCTTCACATGCAAGCAACCCGTGTACCATCTACTCGCGTCCGTTGCCTTTTTTGCTGCAACTGCAAGGCATGCTCAACGAACGAGTGCGCAGGTGGCACGTATCCAAATGCAAGTCGCACACGGCTAATACCTACCTTACACAGTTAAGGCTTCGGTGGCACCTGCGCAACTACCGCGCGAAGCGATCGACGACATCTAATTCGCGTTCGACCTTGACCTCTTCCTTTCATTGTGCATCTCCACACCCTTCCCCGCCCACCAGGTTTCAGCGCGAGGAAGAAGCCAATCATCATCCGTGCACAAGCGACTCCGCGGACTCCTGACAAAATCATGTGTGAGGCAGAAACCGTGCTTCGATCGCATGCAAATTGTGAAGTGTGCTTGTTGGCAGAGCTCGACTGGTCGCCTGCCACATGGGGTCCCCTTGAAACGGCAACAGGCCTGCAATCGAAGCGCATCGTGTGACAAGTACCCATGTGAGAATTGGCGCGCGCACCAGCATCGATCTTGTCACACTGCACTCATCGGAGGGGCGGGGGGAGAGGGGGTCACATTCGTGGGCCTGAACGCAAGGCGGCAACTCCGATCTGCCAACGAAGGCCGCGGGCGATCCGAGAGCGACCAATGGCATGCTCTTGAACGCAACAATTCCTTCAAAGAGCGAGCGAACACCTGAACCAAACCCCGCTGCCTTGACCGGGATACGCTGCACCTGAACCAAGCCCCGCTGCCTGAACCAGAACACGCTGATCACAGACGTCGGCCGAACGCAGGAGGGACCTCCCGAGCCGGGAGTGACCCGCGGGCCAGCAGCAACGGCCGCTCCGGCGGAGGGGCCACCTGCGAGGGGCTGAAGGGAGCGCCCTCTCGCAGTCTCTGCAGTCGGCATGCGATCGGCGGCGGCGGCGACCGCGGCGGCGACCGCGGCGGTGGCGGCCTGCGATGCCCTGGGCGTGGGCCCGTGCCCCCCGGAAGCCGCGCACCAAAGGCGACTCCGCCCCGCGCCCCGCCCTCGCGCCCCCACTGGAGAGGAACACTAGGGGCTTACATGCGAACCCTACCCCTACCCCCCACGATTTCTGAGGGGGAGGGTGGGGTTCACTTCGTTCAGGAGCTCCCGAGCGAAGTGAACCCCGCCCTCCCCCTCAGAAATCGTGGGGGGCAGGGGTAGGGTTCGCACGTGTGGCCCCCTAAGCATGCTTCTGGCCCAGGCTGCGAAGCGCGCAGCGCGCTGATATGTTCGCGCCCCTGCGGGTGACTCGGCTCCCCGCCGTCCCCGATGCGCGAGGTCCTCTCCAGTCTCCAGTAGATGTGGTGCAGCGGCTTGACCGGGATCGAGTCGTCGGAGACGGTCATCAAGTGGGTCACCTCCGGGTCTTCGAGCGCACGCCCTGAAGGCGGGCGCCGCTCAATCGGAGCACTTCGCGGGGGGAGCGGCAGGGACTTTGCTGGGACTCCGCGGACGGGGCTCCTGTGTCCTTCCTGCTGCTGCTCCTCCTCCTCCTCCTCTTCCTCCTCCTCCTCCTCTTCATCCTGCTCCTGCTCCTCCTCCTCATCCTGCTCCTCCTCCTCCTCCTCCTCCTCCTCCTCCTCCTCATCATCATCATCATCATCATCATCATCATCATCATCATCATCATCATCATCATCATCATGCTTCTCTTCCTTTTCCTGCTCCTCCTCCTTCTGCTCCTCCTCCTCGTCCTCCGATGTCCCCTCCTCGTCCCCAAACTCCCCCTACGCCAGGAGAGATCGATCCCTGGAGGCCTAAAGGGTCCAACATCTCCCCGAACCTTCATCCTGACGGCTTCAGCTCCCAGTGGCGAAAACACCGGACCCTTGTCCAGGCACTGGCACGAGGCATGCCTTCAGCGATTGAGCCTGGGCGGCACTGAGGGCTAGAGTCGCACACCATAAGGGAGCGAGTGCACAGTGAAGCTAGAGAAAAGTCGAAGCTCAAATTCCAGGGAGACTCGCCAGTGCTGGAAAGAGAGGACGGGCTGGCCCCAGCCACTTCTTCCAGCTCCCCATGTCGACGACACGCCGACGATCCTTGGGGGGCACGAGGATCGCACGAGGAGGAGGTGGATTGAGCCATGCCGAATGGAAAACAAATAACCGCGCAAGCATACACTTAAGTCGGGCGTGTCCCCCTACAGGGGGATTTTCGACGAAACATACAAAATACCCCCAAAACGCTCCAAAAATGATCAACAAATACTCAAAAGATAGTCCCCAGACTGTTGTTGACTATCTTTGCATATTCCCCCTGTAGAGGGACAGGCCCGACTTAAGCACACACCGTCGGAGGTTCGCGAGGAGGAGGAGGAGGAGGAGGAGGACGAGGAGGGAGGAGGAGGAGGGAGGAGGAGGAGGAGGGGGACGAGGAGGAGGAGGAGGAGGAGGAGGTTCGCGCGGATCTCCGGGGTCGGCGCCAGACGATGCGCGCCAGGGGCGCCTCCAGGGGGCACCTCCAGGGAGGGCCCGGCACCCATACAAGAGATCCGCGCGGCCCTCCTCCTCCGCCGGCTCCTCCGCCTCCTCCTCCTCCTCCTCCTCCTCCTCCTCCTCCTCCTCCTCCCCTCCTCCTCCTCCTCCTCCTCCTCCTCCTCCTCCTCCTCCTCCCCCTCCCCCTCCTCCTTCTCCTCCTCTCCTCCTCCTCCTCCTCCTCCTCCTCCTCCTCCTCCTCCTCCTCCTCCTCCTCCTCCCTCTCCTCTTCCCTGGTGGCCCCGCGCTTCGAGAGGCTGCGCGGGCTCCTGGCCGCGCTCTTCCTCGTTCTTCGATTGCGCTGGGAAGAGACACCGTGCCGAAACCAAAGCTGTCTCGTGCTGTCATAAAGGGGAGGCTGTCATAGGGAAGGCTGAATCCGCGCGGACCTCCGAACACTCCTGCCCAGAGGCGATTGTTCTTCGACTGCGCTGGGAAGGGAGACCGTGCCGAAAGTGAAGCTGCCTCGCGCTGCCACAGGGAAAGCTGAAGCAAGCATGATAAGGGGGGCTCTCCTGGCCGCGGCGAGCCTCGGCCACGAACGGGCTCTCCCCGACCCAGGCCAGAGGAACGGCCAACAACCAGAGCCCCTCCTGAGCCCTGAGTGGCCCTCATCTCAGCGCCTTGGCCGCACAGACGCTTCGGACATCGCCCGCCGGGCCCGCGCACCCGCCCCGCTCCCTCCGGGCCCCTGGCGGAGGCCCCCGAGGCAGAGGGGGCGCGGCTGCTTTTGCCTCTGACCGCGGGCCTATGAGCAACATCGTCGCGTTGAACGCGCTGCACCGCTCGACCGGCACATGCTCGGGCACCACCTCTGATGCCCCACCCTGCAGATTGAGACCGATCCGTGGCCCGATCCTGATCCCGACCAGGCTGGCCCGAGGTGCACCCCGAAGCCGGAGGCATCCAGGCCGGTCGATCGCCCGACCGATCGCCCCGATCGACCGGCCCCCCGTTCGATTGGCCTCGGGGTGCGCCAGGGAGAAGTTACTTATAAGGAGCAGGACTGGAGGAGTTAATTAGAATAACAAGGAATGGAGGAGGAGGAGGAGGAGGAAGAGGAGGAGGAGGAGCAAGAGAAGGAGGAGAATCCCGACTCGGCCAGATCAGCGGTCTGTGATCGAATCCGCAAATCCGAATCTTCTGCGGGCGTCACGGAGTCCCGGAGCTCGACCGGGAAGTCCTCCACTGATCCCAGCGAGGTGTGGATCAGGATCCTCACCTTGGTGCCCTGCCTGTCCGCGTCGCGCAGCCATGACGTCCACAGCCTGCCCTGCACCCAAGGTTGGCACGGCCACGAGACTCGGCATCCTCGCAGCACGCATCGTTGCCTGGGGGGCGATCGCCTAATCCCACCAGCCCTTTGGGCGACAGGTGGTCTAACGAGGGTATCTTTCCTCTTCCACAACTCTTCTTCCCTTCGGGGAGGGGAACCTTCCCCTTCCCCTCCCCGAAGTTTTTTGGGGAGGGGGTCGCGACGATTTAGAGCGTGCTTTTTCGGCCCCTGGGAGGGCCATTTTCTGCCACCCCTCACGAGGATCGTGGCCCCCGAGGGGGGGAGATAAGGGACCACCCATGTTTTGATCGATAGCCTCCAAGATGGCCCCAAGAGGGCCTCCAGGGTTCCCAAGAGAGCCCCAAGAGAGCCCAAAAAGCGCCCCAAGAAGCCTCAAGAGGCCTCCAAGAGGCCCCCGAAAACCCCCCAAGAGGCCCCCGAGCGGCCTCAGAGAGCCCAAGATGACCTCCAAGATGGCTCAGATAGCCCGAGCTGGCTCAAGATGGCTTCCAAGATGCTCCAAACGGCCCAAAGACCGCTCCAAGACGGCCCGGGATGGCCACGGAACCTCCCAAGCCTCCCTCGCTGTTTGACTATGCGTGACTCTTCCTCTTTCCCCCCGTCAACTCTCATGGGCGTTGTTTCTGGATGGGCTGGTGGGGATTTTATTTCGCGAGCGTAGCGGTCCAACCGCGCGCCGTCGGGAAACGCGCAGCAAACGAGCAGCGGGCTAAATTAGGCACTAAGCAGCAGGAGCGGGCAACGCTTGCTGGTGGGGATACTTTTGGTCAACAAGCTCGCGAGGCGGGTCGAAAGCCGTCCGAACACTAGTCGGGCCGCGACTAGGCAGCAGGAAAAGAAAGGCAAGCGAAGCGAGCGAGCGGGCAGCCACTCAGAAGGAGAGCCAGAACCGATACTCCCAAACCCGGTGGCGTTGGAAATCCGAAGTGGTGGGGATACTTTTTAGTCAGCGGCCGCGGGCGAGCGCGCCGGCGGCGAGTCCAGCCAAAGCGGGGCACGCAGCGACGAATTAAACTAAAGCGACGGAGGGTGGCCACACCTACAGCGGCTAACCGGGACCTCGCGCAGCAGCTCAGCGGCGGACCGGCGAGTGGGGGGGCAGCTGAAACTGAGTCGTACTGGCAGCGTGCAAATATGCATAGCGTCGGAAGACCCGGGTCAGAAGCCGAAATTACTGCATGGATTCAACCCCGGACAACTGCGTGAGTACCAGGGTGGCCCGAAGGACCGTCGGTCAAGGTCGAATTGGTGCCGAGACGAGGCGAGAGCGTTGGCAGGCTGCGAGATCCCAGGGTGGCCGTAGCCGCACGGTCCCAAGGCAGCAGAACGCACGAGTGCGGGAAGCAGCAAAGCTGCCGCGCAGCCAAAATGGCGCGGGTCACCACGGACCAGTGCGTGAAGTGGCGCCAGGATGGCTCACCACGAGCCCTGAACAGGGCCGCGAGCCCGAAGTCAGCACACCGAAGGTGGCGACAGGCGGGCGAAGGCACCACGGGGAAGACCCGGGCCTGAGACCAGGGCATCGACCGAACAACTCGTGGGGATACGCGAAGCGTCAAGAATTGCCACTCTTGCCCTTGTGCGCACTACCTGCGAAGTATCTTGCTACTGTGCTCGTCAACTCATGCCTGCCATGTGCTGGCCAACGCAGGCGTCTACAATACCCTCCATGCGGCCAAGTTGGTCCAAGGCTGCTGTTCTAGACCGCGTCGCACTGTCTTGCGCTACATACATAGCCATTCACACTTCCACTGTATCGATTTTTGCGCAATTGCTGTTATGAAGATTGCCGCCTCGGGTTTGAAACACCTACCCCGAACATGTGCATGATTCTACATATCCCTAATGCGACTCCGAAGAGAACATTCACAAACGACATGCACTGCGGAATGAGCACAATGAATGCGCCATCTTCCAGCCGTCCTTGTGTTGTGAAGCGCGTGTCGGACGACCATCAGCAGCGCCAGCTTCGGTGGCCTGGCAGAACGTTGTTCAGGGCCGGATTTCGTGAAGCGCGCAGGCTGAAGGCACGGGGCAGAGCTGCAGGCTGGTGTCACTGACTTGGGCAAGGACCAGGACGCGTGCCCCCACTGCTCGAGATAGGCGCAAGCGATGCTCGGACGCGTGGTAGAGACACGGCAGCACAGAGAGCAGTCGCGAAAAGGGCCCGCCTCTTCAGGATCGGCACCGGGGGCGCATCGAGGAACAGCTCGCCGCGACCTCTCGGAGGCCGAAGGAAACTCTGCAAAGGATGTCGGCTCGAGGCTCGCAGAGTCGCCTCGAGCGGAGCGAGAGGGCGACATTGAGGAGATGCAGGAGCCGCGGTCCCGCCCGGGACGGAGACGGGGCAGGAGCGTTCGCACGAGAGGGCGGGGGGGGGAGAAGGAGGAGGAGGAGGAGGAGGGAGAGGAGAAGGAGGACGAGGAAGGGAGGAGGAGGAGGAGGAGAAGCGGTAGGAGGTAGGAAGGGTAGAGGGAAGCGGAAGAGGAGTAGGAGGAGAAGGAGGAGGAGGAGGAGGAGGAAGAGGTGGAGGAGGAGGAGTCGGCAGAGGAGGCGGAGGAGGAGAAGGAGGAGGAGGTGGTGGAGGATGAGGAGGAAGAGGAGGAGGAGGCGGAGGAGGAGAAGGAGGAGGAGGTGGATGGAGGATGAGGAGGAAGGAGGAAGAGGAGGAGGAGAAGAAGAGAGGAGGGGGGAGGGGGAGGAGGGGAGGGAAGGGAGTAGGGAAGAGCAGTGAGGAGAAGGGAGATGGATGATGGATGGGGAAGAAGGAAAATGGAGGGAGGAAGGGGGCGGCGGGGGATGGGTAGGAACAGGAAAACGCAGGATGGAGGAGGAACAAGAGAGGGGGGGGGGGTGGGCAACATGGAGGAGGGGGAAGATGGAGGAGGGGAGGGGGGACAACGGGGATGGCAGGGGGCAGGAGGGGTGGAGACGGAGGGGCGTTTAGGAGGTCGGGGGGGAGAGGATCCAGCGAGCAGCGGGCCCAGATTTCCGAAGACAAGGTCATTTCGGGTCGCGGGCCCCCAGGGAGCTCTCGGCCTGTTCCCCGAAAGCTTTGGCTTTGCGGGCATATCGCTGTTGGACGGCCTGGAGCCCAGGATAGGCCTCAGGACACCGAGTAGTCTGAGAAGGGATATATAATATAATATATATTATATATATATATGTATGTACGTTATATCATACATATGTGGACGTATATATACATGTGTACACACACACATATTATATTATACATATAATATATATATATATATATATATTCCTCTTCCTATATTTTTACAAGCCCGGGCGGCCGCAAAACCCCGCACCCCCCCCCCCCCCAAACCGGACTCCTGGGATCCTGGGACTTTGGGACCCTCCGGACGCCCATTGAAGCGGTCCCGAGTGCCTCAAGAGCGCTCCAAGACAGGCACAAAGCGCTCCAAGACGCCAAAGATAGCCCCAAGACAGCCTCAGGAGCCCCCAAGACGCCCCAAGCGGCCCCAAAGAAGCCTCCCAAGACGGCCCCGGGAGGCCGAAATGGTCAATTTTCCAATGTGTTTTTCGATGTTTTCTGCTTTCTCGCCATTTTAGCTTTCCGACGCTCCAAGACAGAACTAGAGGCCCTCAAGAGCGCCCCAAGATGGCCCGGGCGGCCCCCAAAACGGCCCCAACACGGCCCCAAGACGGCTCTGGAGCGCCCCGAAACAGCCCAAGAGGCGCCCAAGAAGGCCCAAGAGGGCCCCGAGAAAGCTTCAAACGAGCCCCCACAGGGCGATCAAAAGTTCAAACATCTAACTTTCCGCCCCAAGTGGGCCCCAGGAGGCCCCAGGAGGGCCCCAAGAGGCCCCAAGAGGCTTCCAAAGGCCCCGAGGACTCCCAAAAAGAACCCACGAGGCCCCAAAATGGCTCTCCAAAAGGCAGCCAAAACGGCCCCCCAAGAGGCTTCAAAACTGCTGAATCGCCCCACTTGACCGCCACCTCCGGAACGGCTTCGCTGCGCTGCTCCGTTGTTTGCCAGACAGTGGCATCCCACGCAAAACACCAAAATGCTTGAAATCCCGGGTTCGCAACCAAATTCCCGGGAAATCGGCTGCGAACCCGGGATTCGGCACATTTCCCCGGAATTCGGTAGATGTCCTTAGCATTTCCAGGATCCGGTACGTTGCCTGCATGCTTGCTGCCCTATGCCCTATCGCATCCCAGAATAATCGTTCCATGGAGGTTTCACGAGGGCCCTTCCAAGTTATTAAGGAAACATTGTTTTCCACACGTGTTCGCACACATGCATCCGTAGCCGTTGGCTTACATTTTTAAGCTGTCGCACACGGCACATCCTCGATGTCTGTATTCGCTTGCTCCGATTGTGGCGAGACCCTGCCTGCATAATCATTCTCCACAACACAACTTCAGCTGTCCAATCGGGCTTGCAAGTCGTGTGCCAGTCGACGGGAAACACAGTCACGGTCAGCCCCCCAACACAAAGACTATCAATGCACTCGTTGCGGGGACATGCACGATCGAACTCACTTCAGCCCTTGCCAGCTGCACCGATCCACTCGGACGTGCAAGGCGTGCGCCACTGACGGCCGTCCGAAGCAAGACCTCTTCTCCTGCACGCGCTGCGGAGAGCTCTGGGACAGGACCCACTTCGACGCGAGGCACCTCAAAGCACGCAGCACTACGCGGGTTTGCAATTCCTGCAATGCGTGCCTTACCTTACCCTACCTCATGATATTCCTCCCTTCGCCGCGCCTCCCCAAATCGTCCTCCACTTCTTTCCCGCCCCTTCTGTCCGACGTTTTGTCTTTCCGGAGCCTCCACGGCCGCTCTCATCGCCGCTGATCGGTCCGCTGGGACATTCTCATGGAGTCCCAGTGGCGCGCGGACCAGCAGAGCGAGGGCGCGAGCAAGTAAGGTGCAGGTCCGGGAACTGGGCGCGAACCGGCCGCGGTTCAAAGACCGTGGAGGGCCGCGCTAGACGCCAACGCGCGCAAGGGTTGAAGGACCAAGGTGCATGGCGCGAAGCGCCAATGCAGTCTTGTATATATATATATATATATATATATATATATATATATATATATATATATATATATATATATCGGAGGTGAGGGGGTGAGATCGAAGTGGAACGAAGAGCCCCCCTACCGGAAAATCGGTTTCGGTTTCGTGTTCGTGCGTGCCGTGCGTGCGGGCGAGGCGAAGCTGCGTGGGCGGGCGAAAAATCTCCTCCGGCTGAGGCGTGGCCGGATCAAATGATTCCTCCCTGGGGGCCGGTGCCGCGCGGTGCCCCGCCGGTGTCCCGCCTCCGGCTGAGGCGCGGCCGGACCAAATGCTTCCTTTCCGGGGGCCGATGTCGCGCGGTGTCCCGTCGGTGTCCCGCCGGTGTCCCGTCGGTGTCCCGATGATGATGATGATGATGATGATGATGATGATGATGATGATGATGATGATGATGATGTTGATGATGTTGATGATCACGATGATGGTCATGGTGGTGATGATGATGGTGTCCCGATGATGATGATGATGATGATGATGATGATGTTGACGATCTTGATGATGATGATGGCGATGATGATGACCATCGTGGTGATGATGATGGTGTCCCGATGATGATGATGATGATGATGTTGGTGATGCTGGTGTTGCTGAGATGATGGTGTCCCGATGATGATGATGATAATGTTGATAATCCTGATGAAGTTGATGATGATGAAATGAAGAGATAATGATGATGCGGATGATGATGGTGATGGAAATGATGATGATGATGATGATGATGATGATGATGATGATGATGGTGTCCCGATGATGATGGTGATGGTGAGGTTGATGGTGATGCTGTTGGTGATGATGGTGATGATGATGGTGTCCCGGTGATGATGATGATGATGATGTTGATGATGCTGATGATGACGATGATGGCGTCCCGATGATGATGATGTTGATGATGATGATGATAGTGACGAGGTGATGCTGATGATTTTGATGATGGTGGGCCGATGATGGTGGTGATGATGCTGATGTTGGTGATGATGATGGTTTCCCGATGATGATGATGGTGAGAATGGTGACGATGATGATGGTGTCCCGATGATGATGAGGATGATATTGATGATGTTGTTGCTGCTGATGATAATGGTGTCCCAATGATGATTGTGTTGATGATGTTGTTCATGATGACGAAATGATGATGATGGTGGTCGTGTTCCGGTGATGATGATAATGGTGTCCCGATGATGATGCTATTGATGCTGATGATGGTGATGATGATGATGGTGTCCCGGTGATGATGATGATGATGATGATGATGATAATGTTGATGATGATGGTGGTGAGGTGGTGGTGATGATGGTGCCCCGATGATGATTAAGATGGTGTTGATGACGCTGATGACGAAGATGTTGTTGATGATGTTGACTGTGCGATCAAGTGTGATATCGATAATTAGATCGATAGTGCGACCGAATGTGAAATCGATTGTGAGATCGATAGTGGTATCGATTGTGAGATCGATCGTCAGATCGATTGTGAGATCGATCGAATTGAATAAATCGCGTGAAATCGATTGTGAGATCGATCGAGTGAAATCGATCGGGCGAGGCCAACAGTGAGATCGATCGTGAGATCGATAGTGAGACCGATCGAGTGAGACGTTGGTCCCTCCCCCCCGAACCTCCTTATCACCCGAAGGGTGGTCGTTTAGGTATAGGTATAGGTATAGGTACAGGTATAGGTATAGGTATAGGTATGTATATATATATATATATATATATATATACCACCGCCGTCGACGACACATCGGTGAGGGCCCGGCCCCTGTGCGGTGGCACGCCTGGGCGTCGTCTTGGACTGGGGTGGCGCCCAGGCGTGCCACGGCCCAAAGGTCGCCCCCTCCCCACCTGATGGGTTCTCGGTGGTGGTGGTCCGTGCTCCTCCGAGATCCGACGGACATCATCCCGCGTGACTCCTCCGAGCCGCCAGATGCCTGGGGATGGAACGGGCGACATGGAGAAGAGGCCGGAAGGCGCCGCGCGTGGTTCGCGACAGCAGGAGAGGCAGGTGGTCCCTGGCAGGACCGTTTTGGCTCGAGCAGCTTTGTCTGCGCGCGGGCCACAGGCCTCCAAGCTGGAGGTTCCAACTTCCAACCTCCAGCTTGGAGGATCGCAACCTCCTCTGCTTCTAAAGCACCGAGCTTCGGGCTCCGCGCTAGCGAAACGTGAAATTGTCTT